AATAACTCCTAGATCCCTTTCTGCACTACTCCTTCCTAGGCAGTCATTTCCCATTTTGTATGTTTGCAACTGATTGTTCCTTCCTAAGTGGATTACTTTGCATTTGTCCTTGTTGAATTTTATCCTATTACTTCAGACCATTTCTCCAGTTTATTTTGAATCTTCCAAAGCACTTGCAACCCCTCTCAGCTTGCTATCATGCACAAACTTTATAAATGTACTCTCTATACCATTATCTAAATCACTGATGAAAATATTGGACAGAACAAGGACTGATCCCTGTGGGACCCCATTTGATATGCCCTTCTAGTTTGACTATGAACCACTGATAACTACTCTTGGTGAACAGTTTTCCAACCAGTTATGCACCCACCTTATAGTAGCTCCATCTAGGCTGTAATTCCCTAGTTTGTTATGAGAAGGTCATGCGAGACAATATCAACAGCCTTACTAAAATCTAGATGTACCACATCTACTGCTTCCCCCCCATCCACAGGGCTTGTTACCTTGTCAAAGAAAGCTATCAGGTTGGTTTGACATGATTTGTTCTTGACAAATCCATGCTGATAGTTACTTATCACCTTATTATCTTCTAGGTGTTTGAAAATTGATTGCTTGATTATTTGCTCCATTATCTTTCCGGATACTGAAGTTAAGCTGACTGGTCTGTAATTCACCGGGTTGTCCTTATTCCCCTTTGTATAGATTGGCACTATGTTTGCCCTCTTCCAGTCCTCTGAAATCTCTCTCGTCTTCCATGACTTTTCAAAGATAATCACTAATGGCTCAGATATCGTCTCAGTCAGCCTCTTGAGTATTCTAGAAATGTATTTTATCAGGCCCTGATGACTTGAAGACATCTAATTTATCTAAATAATTTTTAACTTGGTCTTTCCGTATTTTAGCCTCAGAGTTTGCCTCATTTTCACTGGCATTCACTATGTTAGACATCCAATTGCTACTAAATGTTTTGGTGAAAACTGAAACAAACCCATTTAGTACTTCTGCCATTTCCACATTTTCTGTTATTGTTTCCCACACCTCACTGAATAATGGGCCTACCCTGACCTTGGTCTTACTCTTGCTTCTAATGGATTTGTAGAATGTTTTCTTGTTACCACTGATGTCTCTAGCTAATTTAATCTCATTTTATGTCTTGGCCTTTCTAATGTTGTCTCTACATGCTTGTGTTGTTTGTTTGTATTCATCATTTGTAATTTGACCTAGTTTCTACTTTTTGTAGGACTCCTTTTTGATTTTTAGATCATTGAAGATCTCCTGGTTAAGCCAGGGTGGTCTCTTGACATACTTCCTATATTTCCTATGCAGTGGGATAGTTTTCTCTTGTGTCCATAATGATCTCTTTGCCAACTCTCTCAAACTGTGTTTTCCCTTAGACTTGCTTCCCATGGGATCTTGCGTACCAACTCCCTGAGTTTGCTAAAGTCTGCATTCTTGAAATCTATTATCTTTATTGTTCTGTTTTTCCCTCCTACCATTCCTTAGAATCGTGAACTCTATCATTTCATGATCACTTTCACCCAAGCTGCCTTCTATTTTCAAATTCTCAGCTATGATCCTCCCAGCCTTGGGGGTACAGAGCTTTTCCTCCTCCATCTTTGGGGGTGATTCCTCATCACCCATTGCCAAGGCAGCATAATGGTTCTTCATCACCATGGTTGGGGGGGTTGTTCATAGCTAGTTCATGACGCTACCATAGAACTTCCAGTCTGCTACATCAGAGTGCCACAGAATCTGGGGCCTTGTCATAGAAAGAATTTATGTAGCCTGTGAAAGGTCTTACCTGGTGATTTTTTGTTTGTTTGTTTCTCTCACTACTATCATGACCACTAGCCCTACAACTCCATTATAGTCATCCTCAGAGAGGGAGCTATACAATAATGATGTTTGAAATGTGAGGGGGCGCTAAACAGTGATTACAATGTTTGGCCTTTCAAACACCCAACACCCACCACCCCCAGCCAACCCCAGCAGATGTGTGGTCTCCAACAGTGCAGTTTGCTGCACTGGTGCCTGTAAGACTGCTTAGCTACTGAATCCAGGGCTCGAACCTCAAGTATCCTACCTGTCTCTACTCCAAAGTGGTCTCTCAGATGCTCTGAAGAATTCAATGGAATGTCAGGAAAGTAGGTGGGGCATCAAAATCAGAAACAAGCCATAGGCTCATGTCTGTCTAGGTTCTTATATACAATTCATCACTGTGACATGATGATCATGATGGTCCCTTCTGGTCTATGACATGAGCACCTCTCGGAATTTTGAAATGTGCACATCAAGATACATTTCTCTTTCTCTCTTCCCTCCAGTCAGCAAAGACTCGATATTTCTCCTTTACTTATTTTGGTGGCAGTATTGTGAGAAAGCTAGATCAAGGAAGTGTGCTTTAAATTTTGATCTCAGGGCACCAAGATTTATGGAGGTCCTAATTTCTTCTCCGAATGAGTTCCAGTTGCTGAAAAAAGTCCATCTTCTGCACATATGGGTTTCATTCTTTAGGCTACCATTTCCAGTGGAACACAATGGACATTATAGTCATGTAGGGTGAGACAGCCTGGGCTGATCTCATGTAGAGCTCTGGAGACCCGGATTAAAACCTTGAACTTGGCCAGCATCTGGAGCTGTTTGTCCCTATCGTGCAATTTTAAACTTAAACACAAAATTGCCAGAAGAGGGCCAAAGCCAATGCAAAACGCTTCCATAATCTTTAATACCTTCTCTCCAAAGTGGTTAACACCAAACCCCAAATTTAAATAAAAAAAAAAACCCTCTAATGGTATCCTATCTCATGGCAGAAATGGTGTAAAAGACACAGCACTAGCTAAAAATAATTAAAGTTGAAATTTTCAGGGACTTTTTCAGATGGCTTTGAAGGATGGTTTAAGCCTGGAAGTCCCTGCTTCCTGGCATACGTAGTATTGCTAGTCCCCCTGACAGCTGACAGATGCTTCTCGGCAGCACTGAGTTCATCCAAATTGGATTTGTCATTATTCTTTCCTCGGCCACTGCCTGTATGACACTAGGCTTGCTGCTTAAAAGTGCCCTCCTGCCCACTGCTTCTAAGCCACTGTCAGATGCTCTTCTTCCCTAACAAGAGAGATTATTTTGTTTTGAGTTGAACAAACTTGGGTATTGTCACTCCTCCACGTCTTCAGCATTATAAAGACTTTTCTTCTTGGCTCTAGCTAGCTAGGCCAATGACAGAGTAGTCAGAAGCACTACAGTAATGCTCTCAACATTGTAACTTACAGTGATGCCACTACAGCTTTCTGGGCAATTACAACAGACTAGCAAGGAGCCTTTTAAAGGGAAGAAGCAGAGGCAATGCGGATGGGCCTTTGGTGTTTAATAGCAACTGCTTTTTCTCCCCTCCCGCCCCTTCCCCTCTCCTCAAGGTTCACAGCCAAAACATTGATCTTATCTTTAATACATGTTCTCTTATGTAGAGGACAGTGATAGTAGACAGATTTGCAGCTCCAGCTGAACTGATAGTATGCCCTGCCCACTCACTTGTGCTTAAGATAAAAAGTTGTAAAGCCAATAAGGGTGAGATGAGCAAGAATAGCGAAGGTCATCTCTCCTGCTTGTTTATTTTAAGTGAATTCAAGACTAATGATGCATGCTAGATTGACAGCACAAGGACTCAAGTTCTTTGTCCATTATCTGCAGGACAGGTAGAACCCAAGGCAATAGCAATACGTGCTCCTCCAGGCTTCTTCAATGTGTCTCAATCTCAATACACAGAGTCCATCTGTGGGTGTGAAATCAGTTACCTCCATGCTCAGTCAGTCCTTGCTCTCAGTGCAGTGGCTCTCAGCAAGGGTGACAACTGTGGTGGTGCTCTCACTTTGATACTGAAACTGCATAGAAAAGAAATCTAAGCAATGTGTTCTGTTGATTGTTGAGTTCTTGTTTATATTCTTTAAAATAGCATTAGCTTTTTTAACCCATTCAGAAGTTTGAGACATGTTTTAAAGAGGCTTGATTTTTGTCATTTTCATGCTGAGCATCCACTCTCTGAAAATCAGGGCAATAATAAGGTGTCTCAAGTTTGATACAGAGATTACTGAGTGAGATTTCTTTGGCCCGTGTTATGCAGGAGGTCAGACTAGATCAGTGGTGGGCAACCTACGGCCTGCAGGCTGCATGCAGCCCATCAGGGTAAGCTGATTGCGGGCCACGAGACATTTTGCAGACGTTGACCATCTGCAGGCATGGCCCCCCTCCCGCCCCAGCTTCCAGTGGCCGCGGTTCACCGTTCCCGGCCAATGGGAGCGGCAGGGCAGGAAGCAGCAGCCAGCACGTCCCTGCATCCAGCCGCTTCCCGCAGCTCCCATTGGCCGGGAACAGCAAACGACGGCCACTGGGAACTGCAGGGGACCATGCACGCAGACGGTCAACTTTCGCAAAATGTCTCGCGGCCCGCAGTCAGCTTACCCTGATGGGCCGTAGGTTGTCCACCACTGTGCTAGAGTCAGCAAGGAAATACTTCCTCCTTGTGTATAGAATTATACATTTGGCATGGGGCATTATGGGTTTTTTCATCTTCCTTCGAAACAGTGTTGCCAACTCCACACATTCAAAAACCTTATTCAGGCATCCATAAACCAAGAGATTGACTTAAAAATCATGAGTTTAAAAAAATGCGGGTACTTTTTGTCTTCTGGCTTTTGAGCCTTTAGGCATCAATATTTTTTCTACAACCATGTGGGCTAGAAACTTGGTCTGTTTTTATAAGTAAGTACTGAGACTCTCCTGTAATCAAGTGAAAGTTCATGTAAACTCTCAGGCTATGCAGGATCCAGTGCAGTGTGGTGCATACCACACAGGTGTAAATACACCCCACTCAATGTTGTTAAAGTCAGGAAACTTTTTAACTTCAGAATGCTTAAAACTACTTTTTGCAACAGAATTGCATTCTTAATTACTTGCATCTCTTCACCAGTTTCCCTCTTAGAATAACTTTTGTCTGTTTACCATAGGTTTTATTGGCTGGTTAACTTAAATTCAGCAGTTGTCTTTGTTAGCATTTCTTATATCCAGCAATCTTTGGCCAAGAACCTTGGTTTTCTTATCCCATTTGTGTCTGTGCTTATGGCCCTGATCACAATTCACATGGTGCGCAGTGAAATGATTTACCAGCCCAAAAAAGGTAAGATGCAAATATCTGTCTCTTAGAAATGTTTTAAAGGTGACTTTAAAAAATTGTTTAACTGTTCTTTCCCCAAAGCTACATCCATTCTGTCTGCACTCATTTTGGACTTAATCCTGCTGAGTGCCTCCTGTGAAGGGCTGAACATCTTCTACTGCCATTAACGTCAGCACTTTGCAGAATCGGGCCCATACAAAACCAGTTAAAACAGGCTCTTACTAGGAGGTGGCTGCATCACAGGAGATCTGATGCTATTTTCTATTTTAAAGCTATCATTGCTGCAATGTAGGCTATTACAATAGAACCTCAGAGCTACAAACGCCTCTGGAATGGAGGTTGTTCGTAACTCCGAAATGTTTGTAACTCTGAACAAAATGGTATGGTTCTTTCAAAAGTTTACAACTGAACATTGAGTTAATACAGCTTTGAAACTTTACTATGCAGAAGAAAAATGCTGCTTTTAACCCTCTTAATTTAAACGAAACAAGCATAGAAACAGTTTCCTCACCTTGTCATTTTTTTTAACTTTCCCTTTATTTTTTTAGTACTTTACAGGTTTTGGTTTTGTTTTTTTTGTCTCTGCTACTGCCTGATTGTGCACTTCCGGTTCCAAATAAGGTGTGTGGTTGACTGGTCGGTTCGTAACTCTGGTGTTCATGACTCTGAAGGCCTGCTGTATCCCTAAAACTAAATATTAGAAATGTTGGACTGTTTAAACATGCAGATAGCTTTGAGTACTTTAAAACAAAGACATTTTTACTGCATCTCCCAGCTTGTTGCAACATTTTAACCTATAGCAACTCCTTAAAGTACTTTGATTCTGCTTTATAACTTGTAAAATGCAATTTGTATGCAGTAGGAGGAGGGGAACCCTACCAAATGCAAGAAATTAAGCTTCCAAAAAAGAGAATAAAAGCTTTAATGTTAAAATAAACCCTGATTGTTTAATCAGTGGAAAAATATAGTTAGTTAGATGGATGTTGGCAGTGTTATTGTAGCCATGTTGGTCCCAGGATAAGAGAGACAGTGGGCGAGGTAATATCTTTTATTGGACCAACTTCTGTTGGTGGAAGGGACAAGCTTTCAAGTTTTACAGAGCTGAGAAAGACCTTAGTGAAGCTCAAAACTTTGTCCCTTCTCCCAACAGAAGTTGGTGCAATAAAAGCTATTTCCTCCCCCACCTTGTGTCTCTTACTTTTGAATGACGGCTATTGTTTCTGGAATTTTCAGACACATCAATTACTCACATATATGAAGCATCTTTGAGTTCCAAGGTGAGATTAAGATTCAACCCCATGATGCTGTGATCAGGTGGCTTCTCCTACCTGCTTCAAATACAATTCACCTAAGTGGAGACAAGACAAAGCTTCCCTGGGCTTTGTGCTATTTCCTTTTGAGTTCCATTTGTGAATAAAACCAGTCTCCCCAACAAGGCTGGCTACTGCCAGGGCTGCTCAAGCCCCATGCTGAAGTCATAGAATCATAAACTATCAGGGTTGGAAGGGACCTCAGGAGGTCATCTAGTCCCACCCGCTGCTCAAAGCAGGACCAATCCCCAGACAGATTTTTACCCCAGTTCCCTATATGGCCCCCTCAAGGATTGAACTCACAACCCTGGGTTTAGCAGGCCAATGCTCAAACCACTGAGCTATCCCCCCTGAGAACTGCATCCTCTGAGAACCATTCCGTGTACCCTAAGATCAAGGTGTAGGGTGACCAGATGGTCCATTTTTAAAGGGACAGTCCCATTTTTGGGGACTTTTTCTTATATAGGCGCCTATTACCCTCCACCCCCATCCCATTTTTTCACAGTTGCTATCTGGTCACCCTATCAAGGTGGGGCAATGTCACGTGCAACAATGAGTCAGCAAATCACACACCTCTTCTGAGTCTCTACTACATTGCGCTTTGGATAATATTTTACTCCCATTTTGCACAAGTATAAGCTTTATCAAATCACATTGGTAGTGTTGCACGTAATGTGTACAGGTGCAAAGAACAAAGGCTGGGATTTTCAGAGGAGCCTAAGGAAGTTAGGGACCCAAAACCCATTGATTTTTTTCCATGGACTCTTTTGAAAATTCCTGCCAGAAACTGAAGACAGTGGAGATTCTGGCTCATGGCATGTTGACACCAAGGACATATCTGAACAAAAGCCGTGGATCTGAATGTACTTAGCATGAGGAAATTTGTTTCTGAACTTTGCAGCTTGAGCCAGCCTGTCTGTTATGGAAAATTCACAGCACCGAAGTCACTAGCAAGGTTTACTCAGTAACCTTAGGGTCACAGCAAAGAAAACAAGAGATACCAAGAACTTTTTGGTAGTAGAAGTGGCCTTACAAAAATATTAATTGCCCTACAAGGTCAGCACAGGCAGCACTTGTTTGTATATCATTGCTTAATGTTTTTCTGAATGAATGTTGTTTGGTTTAATTAATATTTTGCAAGTTTCAACAAAATTGCCCATTTTTGGAGTAGTAATCTGAGGGCTTTTAATCCTTATTTTGGCTCCTTCCAATAAAATGACTACATTGGAAATTCTTTAGAGCCATAATTCAAATTCAGAGGTGACCTTAAAGAAATGATTTTTATATATGCTCCCTTTTTATTTTAAGGTAACATTTCCAATGTGGACCATGCATTCCATCATGTTTAGCGGTCAAGCATTGACTTCATTTGCATTTCTTCCCACTGCTATAATTTTAAGAACTGGCAGGTGACCAAAGATGAGAAAAAATGTGTGTCTACCATCTAGAGTACAATGTAGGCTTTTTATTATAATTAAGTAGCATAGATATTCATGATTAGATCAAGGTCAGAGTAGCAGAACATCAGAGCCAAAAGCAGTAAGTATAAAGAAGGGGAAAGATTGCTTTCTAAATGTTTTTATTTTAGTGTCTAAACAGATGTACATTTCCAAGGAAACGTTAAAAATCTCAACTTGTATAAACATGAAATGGATAATGTTGATATATACTGAAGTACATAGTTATGTCTGTAGAACAGATATCTGTTTCAATGATAGTGCTGCATATCATATGCTTTCTGTATCTTCTCCCTTTGCCCTTCTTACCCCATGCCTTCCTGAATTACTGCTTCAATTAATGTCAAAATTCGAACAGAGTATTTCTCTGAAATTACACTCCTCCTTAAAAAGCAGGGGTGACTCCTGGCACTATTAATATCAGTGGCAAAGCTTTTATTGACATCACTGAGGCCAGAATTTCACCCAAGTTGTTCATTTAAACAAAACTGCAACTACAGATAAACAAGCTTCATACACAGGTTGAGTTCCAGATTTGTCTGTCTTGTTTACCAGGGACGGACCACAACCCGTCTGGAACTCTACACATTGTTCAGAAATATCTAGTAGCTAAATAGTATACTGCAAGTAAATATATCATTGCCTTCTTACTCTTGTGCAGAACAAAATATTTTCTAGATCTTCACAAGCGGTTGATTCTCAGATTGTATTATGAAAGGAGGGAAATTGTTCTAATAAGAAATGCCTTGAAATGTCAGGGCTCGACAATAACCTGTCATCCATGTTAAATCTTCTTTCCAATGTGAATAATGGAACTTAAGTCTGAATTTTTTAATAGTGGTTGTTTCCAAGTGTGTAATCTGCAATAAACTGGATATGCTACAGCGCAAACATTTCTTAAGGTGTAACATTTTTCTTTATTCATCTTGTCCACCTATTTAATAAATGGGTACAGCTGTCTAAGACCTTAATCTCCTGAAAGGGCTGATTTCAAGAGGAGTCCAGGGTTCCTCACTTCTCACAGGACTAGGCTGTAACTGCACCTCCTGTAAATGAGTGCATTCTTTGTAATGACACAATGTCACCTGGGGAGCAAAAAGCCCCTGTGGGTAAACATCAGATAGCTAGCTACAGCCCAGATCACGACAGCTGGTGAAAACTATACCCTTACGCAAGTTCTCTCATGTCCATTTTCACTTCTAAAAGGCCTCTTCATACTGATTAGAGAATCCAGAATCTATACCCTCTTCCTTTTTTTTCTGATCAGTTTATCTTAATTTGAACACTCTTATAAAGATGGCTTTTTCTTCTTGGTTATGTTTTTAGACCTCAAAACTTTTTTTAAAAAAAGAGTACGTAAGCCAGAAGACTCGATAACTTGGATCCATATTGTATATTTCCCTCTCTGTTAGGGAGATCTTATTTATCAATGCCAACAGTCCAGCTGTGGATACTAAGCAGCCAGAGAGTGGGTTTAAATCTTGATTAGCCAATAGCCATTGCTTTCTTAGTTCTTTCCTGACATTAAGTGAATAAATACAGTGTTTGTGATAGGTGCCAACTCAGGAGATGAACTCCACCATAAATAAAGAAAATAGGCCCCAGGCAGCAGTAGTGCAAACTTACCTCACACCTGCCTGCCAGTATGTCTCAACCCTGGGATGACCTTTGTGGGATAAAGGCATTTAAGATCGATCTATCTATCTAATCATACTCATATTACCCCTCCTTTACTGTAGTATCCGAGTGACTCAAACACCCCTGTGAGATAGAGAAGTGCTATTACCCCGTTTGACAGATTGGGAACTGAGGCACAGAGAGTAAGTGATTTGCCTGAGGTTGCACAGGCAGAGCAGGAATGTGATCCCAGGACTCCCAGGCCCTAGGCTAGGACCGAATGACTGAACCATCCTTCCTAAGTTTCCATACTTGTACCATTGCTGGTTTCTCGGAGACTGACAACAAGGATGGTAATTGCGGTTGAGGTTTTTGTTGTTTTGCTAGGAACTAGACTGAGAACCCCTAATTTATTTCAGACTGCCTATCACATGGCCATCAGAAGGTAATATTTTTAATAACGACTAACCTGACCATGAAATATGACCATGACAAGTTCTCTATCCCATTAGCATCCGCTGAGCCATACCTCAATTCACCAGTGCCTCCCTCTTTCATTGACAGTATTGTTGGCGGGCATACAATAGCTCACTACTGGCTTGAATGGAAAACGACCAAGATCAAATCAATACAAAACACATTCAAAGGAAAATATTAATATAGTACCTGCTCAGCCATAACAATAAATCATTCCAAAGTGTTAATGGGTATTTTTAAAAAAAATCATTCTTCCTACTGAAGACAAGGCCACAACCTGTGTACCTTCAGTAGGGCAGTTTAGGGTGGATGCTGCAACCAGACTTGGCCCTATATGTTCAAGTTGTCTTGTAAAGATGAATGCATTGGAACAAATCTGGTCTGCTACATCCTTTGGAAATGACCAAGATAAATCATACCCAGTTGTATTTTGTTCCAAAAGCCATTTGGCTTGTCTTCAGTTTGGCAGCAAGTAAAATGTACTGATGCATGATGTCTCTGATCATTCGCAGGTAGTTCCCAGCTGACCACCTGTGGGGTAGTTGCTCATGCACTGAGAATGTGCTGTGTGAGATACCGCCACCTTCGTGGAGATGTGACAAGCTGGTTAGATCTTGCCAAGGAAAACTATGGTGGCTGGTACAGTGAGACTCATGTGGAAAGCACTAAGTTGCTTATCAGGCTCTTTCCGCTCTTTGCCTTTCAAATTCTATATAGAATGTGCATCATTCAGGTGAGTAAATGAGCTTTTAATCCTAAATTCCCATGATTATTAAAATATGATGAAATATATTTAATACAATTGTATATCTAGTTTCTTGGTATGGTCTTCAACAGCTGCTTTACCAGTACAGTAGTATTGATTTACTAAAACTTACCAGGCTATGGTCACATTGGCTCTCATAAACTAAGGATGATTGGCTTGGTCAGCACTTGGGAGAGAGCCTCAGGTGACACAGGAAGACCAGTACGTGCTACTTTTTTCTTTGAATCATTATTGTTCCAGTACCCAGTGCTAAGGTGCTCTGCTGCTGGAGTTGCTGTGATTCAGGTGAGGACCTACGCACTTGTGGTTATTAAAGACAGAATACCAGTGCTCGTTAGAAATACCATTATCTCCAATTTCCTCAACAAATTGTAATTCATGTGATATTTTCCACCGCAGACTCTCTCTGTAGTCCTAGTTGTATACTCTTTATACTGCGCTGGAGGGGATGTGTTGCTGGTGTGTCCCGCCCCAGAGGTGGGTGTATTTCAGTGGTGGATAAAGTGATCCTTTCACAGCCTGTGTAGGGGTCTCTCTGCTTCTGGGGAAAAGGTGCTGTATAAATGTGAAAGTGTCATGCAGATCTACTTAGGTAGACATGATTTTTTGACTGGATGTTCCAGGTTAAGCAAAAGTTTTCAAGGTAGTTTACCCTGTGGCAACCTGCTTAGCTCTATGTTACTGAGCAGGCTTTGTACTTCACTTCCACTGATTGGTGCTAAAATTAGTGCACAGTGCTAGGCTGCTTGAGGAAAAAAAATCTTAAAATACCATATCTTAATTATACTGCTACTATTGACAGTCATTCCTGAGACAGCCTTTTCCTAAAAATAAAAAAGTTGATGTTGACACTTGACATTACTAGCCACTACAAGGTGACAATGAACCTCTATTGACATTGATTATAGTCAGAATATTCAGGCATGTATTTGAAAAGGGAGTCAAAAATTTTGAAGGGGATGATTTTTGCACTTGAGGCAGAGGAAGCAATGATTTCAAGGCTTGAGCCTTTTCTTTGATTAGGCAATCGATTAATATTGCTTCTGTAAAGATGAATAGCGCTTTCTCTATATTATGAACAGATCTGTGTGCCCGTGATTCCTGCTGATAATGTTATGCCTATTAATAACATCGATTTTCATGTGCAATTGGTAACAGAAACCAGAGGTCTATAAGTTGTGTGGCAACCATTCTGAGGTCAGCCACCATTTCTTTGTTCACCTTAAGTTTTTGCATAGTTTGTATCCTCCTCTGGAGATGAGCAGTGGAAAATCTTTTTTTTTTTAAGAGATTTAACATTCTGAATAACCCTAAAAGTCCTGAACAAACTGGAATCATTTTGTCCACCACTGACTTGCAGACACCTTAAAGGTGAAAACATAGCAACTCAACTGTTTTAGGAATGCCTAACAACACTGAACAACAATTTAGGACAGCAATTGAATACTAGATCTAACTGAAGCAGCAAGAGGCTTAAGTAATTGGAAAGTAATTATCGGAGTTGGAATTTCCCCAGGAAACTAAGATTAACATGATGATGTTATGAGAAGCACCATGGGGTCCTCTGTGTAAGTGCTCCAGACCTCAGTTTTATGTCTCATCTGAAAGCATTATGGAAAACAAAGCTAATGTAAATAACATTAGTTTCATACATTTGTCAAATCAGAGATTCTTGCTCAAATGCATTTAATTGAATTGATTTACATTGGGTCCATCAGCAGATAACTGGGTTTACTGAGAGATTCATCTTATTCTGGAGAGTTAGCAGGAGTAGAAGGCATAGACTTGTGGTAAAGATACAGGGGTAGGCATCAAGAGATCTGGGTTCTATACCCAGCTGTTCTGTGTGACCTGGGCAAGTCACCTATCTCTCTCTCCCTATCAGTCTGTATAATGACACTTCCCTGCTGCATGTAGGGATTGAGAGGCTTAATTCATCAATGTTTATAGAAACTTCCCCAGCCAGGCTGAGTTAGCCCTCCAGCTCCCGAGGTGAGACCAGTCACCACATGGTCAGCTCTGCTCTGTCCGCTAGTTCAGGGCTGTTGCCTGCTGTGTGTGTGTCTGGACACTTGGCTAGGAGACTACAGTTTGGATTTTAGTACAGTTGTGTAATCTGCACCTTGAGCCCTGTACCCCTTTGTGGTGAGGGGAAATCCTGGGACCGAAGCAGCCTGATTCCTGCCTGAAGAGGATCCCAGCCAGCAGAGATCAGCCCCTCTGCAGTGACTGAGGAGTCCAGCGTCATCTCCAAACCTAAGGATCATTTGTGAGTGCACCATCTTTTAGTTAGTCGGTCAGGGAATTTGTTTTGGGGACCCCCTGAACTGTGTCCTCAAGCCAGGGAGTGAGGGTTTGGGGATTTTATAACCTGCTGCATATTAAACCTCTGGAGGGATTTACCACCTTCTCCCACTTGAGTCCTTTGGGCTGTACTGAACCCCATCAGCCACACTGCTAAACCACTGCAGAGAAGAATTTTGTGGTTATAGGTCATCAAAGGCTCCAACAAAGAATGCGTACCAATGGGACACTAATCTTACATTTGCTACACCAAGTCACATGACTGGGGAAAATCACAGGTATTAGCAGCATGGGCACTGGTGAACCTAAAAATAGTGTTTTACCCTGTTATGTTAGATTTGTCTCCTATTTAATATAATTATTGTGTTGAATATATTGTATGTGTTTGTGTTATTTCTTGGAAGTCTCCAACTATCTAGCAAATAAGTGGGGAATTACTCTGTGGTTAGAATTTTCCTCCCAACCTGCCCTGCTGACCCTGCCAGGAAAGAGCGAGGGGGGTGGAGGCACCACCAAATAAATTCATAGGAAAAGATAAAGAAGATATACCCTGCTGAGTGGGTGGCGGGATCCAGAAGAACCCAAACCTGTCCATCAAAACCTGTAAGCAGATTGGCATTAAAGAAGGTAACCGGATGGAGAGGGGGCGCTACACCTAGATAGACCTTCATTGTAAGATACAAAAGAAATACAAACTGTCCCCTGTTGTGGTGGGATACACCGATCGGATCCTATAAATCTACTTTGATTTCACTGGACTTGGGGGGACTGGCACTAGTGGGCCTCTCTCCTTCCAATTATCAGTTTCTCTCTTCATTTACTGACCTAGAAATACAGAGAAATGCTGTTTATTACTGTTATGCTTATCAATCAAGTTTTGCAAGTGTTAGTCTGGTTCTAAAGAGCATGGCCAAATATTCATCCTGTACATCATACTGGTGCATCTGTTAGATATGACTTGCTGACATGGGTATCTAAAAAAATACTGCTGTCTTTATAATGAGATATTCCTGCTTGTTTTTTTCTGTAAAATAAGTTCATGTCTCACTTTCCTATGGGAGGTTTGTGGCTGAACAATTCTATTAAAAAAATTGTTTTCCTGCAGTATAAGGAGCAACTAAAACTTCTTTCAGAGTTACTGCTATGAGTTCAATCAATCACTTTAATGAAGGATAGACAAAGAAGCTGATACTCAATGGTAATATTTGCTGATCCTGTTATACTGAGGGGCAATTGAAACAGAGGTAAAAATTTAGCTCTCAACAGAGGATGATGATGACAGCATCACAACAGCAGGCAGATAATTGATTAATTTTGTTATGGATGGGCCTTCTCTTTGAGAGTCTAGTAACAGATCTGCAAGTAGCATTTCAACTTGGAGAAGAGAAGATGGAACAAGATCCATTTGGAAAAGGTTTCCAAATATATTAGAATTTTGTCCCTTCAAAAAAAGCCTAAAACTAGTATACTAATAAACAGGGTTTTTCCCCAATGCAGATTCCTTCAGGATATTATCTCCAGACCATGAATTCCGACTTGAATTTGAATGGATTTCTCTTGCCAATTGCAGCAATGAATGTGATAAGCATCATACCCTTATTAATCCTTGCTCCTGTTTTGGAATGCATCAACACTCATCTATTGAGTTCCAAGAGAGGCAGACGCTCTCCAACAGTTTACATTAGTGAGTATGAAATACATATGTATAGGGTCTTCATCTGCATTTCATTCCTGATTGAAATACTAAATTAGCTGATGGATAAGAAGGGTGCACTTGCTGGGTGACGCTATCAGCGTATGTGAAATTATGAACGCTGAGATGGAAAACCAACTGTTTTGGGGTTGTCCCCAGGATGGATACTACTTGAAATGATTGGTTGTAACTGAGCCAAGGAAACATGCTGGTGATTAAGAAAAGATCTCCACCTCCATTTAGAGACAGGTTGGGGGAAATCATTTTGCCTTGAGCCACTAAAAACAGACAAAGTTTTGAGACAAACCACTCAAGGGTGTACTAGAGGGACAGACCTGAGTCCTTGGGTGAGAATTTGCTAACCACCTAAAAGGTTTCTGCTAGTTCCAGTTTGATTCCTATAATACCTGGTTTTCCAAGTATGAAAAGTTGTGTCTTGTCTTTACCCTCTGTAAATATAACCATGAAACATTTACAAATGTGTATTTGTTGTGGCTGCGCAGTGCTAGAACACACCAAAGTCCTTGGGTGCCAGTCATGTGCTCGGTGTACACCACTCAGAGGCAACCAGTGTAGGTGCTTCAGCCGCTAGGCCTTGTAGGCAATAGCCCTGGTGGGGCCCAATAACCACTCAGACAAATGCCTAAGTGAAAAGGTATTTTACTGGGGCTGGTAGGAAAGGAAAAGTTTGCAGATGCCCTAGGTACAGAGTCTTTAACAATTACAGTTCAAAGTGAGCAACAGCAGTTCTTGTTTGGGTCCCTGGGGCAGTCCAATTGAGAGTCAGAGCTTATCAGACCTAGTGTCTCGGCTACCTTCTCCAGTCTAAATCTGGATCAAAATATGAATTTCCCAGTAGGCACTATTTCTGTAAGAGGTCAAGCAATAACCATGATTCTAAATCTCTCCCAAAATGTTGGGGCATTTCACATCTAGAGACAAATTTTGTAAATTTGGAACTCATCCCTTGCCAGTTCATATCTGAGAAGAACAATGTTCACCCATTATTTATTTAAATCTGTCTTCAGTCACAAGGATTTCTAGACAAAGCGAACTCTATTCCTGTTTGTTTTATCATCCACCCTGCAGTGTAAACTTTTGAGACAAAACTGTTCATAAACCAGTATTTCCTCTTCTGTATTAATTCAGTGCCCTGTGGCATGGAGCACAGTCAGTGCTGAAATGCAGAAGTATTAATCTGACTAAAGTTAGACCAATTAAGGCTGTTATTAAGTCTTACACACACTAGAAGCATATAACCCAGCAGGTGGCAATTAACCCTGGTTTTCAAAAAACATCTAAATTAAACCACAAAAAGTACATTCAGATAATAATGTTTTCCTTAAAACCATGGAAATTCCAAATGGGTGCTAGGGTACTATCTTATTGTTCTTTACTGCAGCAGAATACATGAGGTGGCTTATTCTTAATGGTTCCATTTTTAAAAATAGCCTCCCATTTTGTGCCCACAAATAACTTGAGGTGCAATTAACTGTGTGTGCAAGCGATGGCTGTTAGATATCTAACTCATGATTGCACCTGCAAATCTGCTAGAGCTGAAAGTGCCAGCATTTTGTGCCAGAAGTTAATTAGGTTCACAATTATTTGCAGGAGCAAAATTGAAAGTGTAAATAGGCTGTTGGTTTTAAGCCAGGTCCTAATGCATTCAAATGCAAATTTCATAACAAAAAAGAAACCCAATAACAGTGATATTAGAGAAACTTTAAAAAAAAAAATTAAGACAAAGTTACAAGAAAACATTAACCTACTACATTCCTTATTCATGATCAGGTTTATATCAAAGAACCTGGCTAAAGACTAAAAATCTTTAAAGATGTAACTGCATAAATAATATAAACTATGCATTATTAATCCAACACATTGCTCGCCTGCGCCGATTCTCGCCGCCCCCATTGGCCCGGGACGGCGAACCGTGGCCAGTGGGGGCCGCGATTGGCCGAACCTGCCGCGTCAGCAGGTAAATAAACTGGCCCGGCCTGCCAGGGTGCTTACCCTGGCGAGCCGCGTGCCGAACGTTGCCGACCCCTGCAATAGACTATATTAGATCTTCCAAAAACATTGTTTTCTTTTTATAAATTAGGGATGATTGAACTGATATGAAAAATTAGCGAACCTAAATCTTAGCCCCAAACTTATTCTGAACCTGAACCTCTCTCTGAGATGTGCATGTATTCAGTCAACTTCTTTAAGATTATTTCTCATATTTGTGGAATTATTATATTTTTTGATTCAATAAAGTGACAAGGATTCAAAAAAGAAATGGCCATATATGTGGATAATGATAATATCCAGATGTACAATAAGGATTTTTTAAAATAAGGTGATATTAATCCTTTTGCTGCAGGATATAAAAGGGAGTTAGGAATAAACTTTCTCTATTCCATAATTGCTTACTGTAGGATTTCTTGCATCTTCCTCTGAAGCAACTGGAATTGGCTGCTGTTGCAGATAAGAGACTAGATTAGATGGACTGCATGGTAATTCCTAGGTTAGGTTGATATTTAATGCATTTCAGGCTCAACTAGAGGTAGGAAATGTTGTCTCTTTGCCAGGTAATAACACACTTTAAGGTTCTTAGAGATTTCTGGTAGAGGATTCTTTAATTTTGCAGGCAAAGGTTTTCCCACTGGAAAATAGGTGAGGCAGAATCAAGATATACGTGCAATTTGTTTACAGGATGTACACAAGTTCTGTTCCTTTGAACGAAGATCACAAACTGCACTCAGGGGACCTTCTCTTGGAAAAACCTCCGCTAAAGCCCTGCTATTCTGTCCCTAAGGGCATGGTTACACAGGGATCATACATCGCATTAATTTAAGTTTATTCACCTTCAAGTGCCTTGCGTCCACACACAGCATTTTTTTAAAAGTGAATTATTCAACATTTTAGGTCACAGTAATTAATCCCCTTTGGAACAGGAGTAACTCTACTTCACCATTTGTTCATGTCATGGTTCGTGCTACACATTAATCAATTCTAAGGCCAGAAGGGACCACAGTGATCATCTAGTCTGACCTCCTGCATAACACTGGCTGTAGGACTTCTCTCAATGAATTTCTCTTTGAACTAGAACAGATCTTTTAGAAAATATTACTAATCTTGATTTTAAAATTGCCAGTGATGAACAGTCCCCACAACCCTTGGTAAGTTGTCCCAATACCTAGTTACCCTCACTGTTCCAGTCTGAATTTGTCTAACTTCATACTTCCAGCATTTGCCTGCTAGACTGAAGAGCTCTTTATCAAATATGTGTTCCCCATGTACGTACTTAGACTGTGATCAAATCACATTCTCTTTGTTAAGCTAAATAAATTGAGCTCCTTGAGTCTGTCACTATAAGGCAGATTTTGTTTTCTAATCCTTTGATCATTCTTATGGCTCTTCTCTGAACCATCTCCAATTTTTCAACTTCTTTCTTGTATTGTGGACACCAGAACTGGACAGCAGTCACACCTGTGCCAAATACAAAGATAATATTACCTCCTTGCTGCTACTTAATATTTCCCTATTTATGCAGCCAAGTCTACCACTACATCCAATTCCTAACTACGCTATTTCTGGCAGAACTCCAACTGCTATCCCACACCTGGATTGGCCTCTCTCTGTACCATCCACTGCTTCGGGGTCATCTTGGCCAGATGTTCTCTCTCCCTTTAAATGATGGCATGCAGTCAGAAGTGCCCCGTTGCAATACCAGGTAGTGGTAAGGTCACAAACCCATTAAAGCATCCATGCTTCCCTACAGACCGCTGCAGAGCTCCTGGACTTGATTGACCTTTTTGGAGAGCTAGTCCCATCCGATGAAGTTATTGGAATGCAAACCTCATCAGGACACAGTCAGAACAAATGAAGAGAGGGCATGCTCCCAGAGCTGGTTTCAGTGCCAAGTCTAAGCAAAGGAGCTCCAGGAGAAGTACCCAAAAGCAAGGAACAAGAGTGGGGCCTCTAGTAATGCTCGCACTACCCACCCATACTACAAGGACCTGGACCTCATTTTTACAAGCAATGCTACCACCACACCTAAGAATGATATGATGGATAGTTTTCCACAAAGTTTCCAAGACAATATGGAAAGGGCCCTTGACCCCAGGTGTAGGAGGAGGTCTGATCAGGAGGAGATTTTTCTGGGCACCCAAGAACAGTATGACACAGCAGATTCAGAGATTATACAAGAATTCCATGTGGCCAGCCATACTGAAACTGCTGTTGAAGAGAGCTCTACCAGCAGCCAACCTGAAAATGCAGTGGATGGGAGTTATACCACTAATTATTGTGTGCCGTATTACACTACAATAATACAGAGGAATTCAAACAACTTTTTTTCTGGGTAAAGCAGCTGTCTACCGCCATGTTAGGCAACACCAGTAGCCTCTCTCTTTCTGCTGGACTTTTAACCCCTTCAACCTGCAACTTGCTCAAAATGGCATTTGTGCCACAGATTTAAAGAGAGAATGTTTTATTTCCTTGGAGTATTAAATCCCACAGCCATCAGCAACACTTGCTGCTTCATTTTCCCCCTTCCTGAGATGCTCTCCTTTCCTCCCCCGTCATCCACAGCATCATCCCTTGTGCTTGGCTCACAGTGCCATTAGTGGCCTCAGCTTTTAGCCAACTTGAAATTTTGAAGTAAATGCATGGGGAGTTTTAAGGCATTCATGGTTATCAGAAAGCCTTGGCATTAGAGCAATTATTGCAGGATTCTATTTATTTTGCAGTATACTTTATGCCGATTTGTGAGTGTCATAAAAGAGAATTTAAGTCAAAGCCAGAGCCCTATTTTGACATGCACATTGCAAGGCAAAGTAGTTCTCTCAAGACTGCTTATATAACTAGTGTTTCCCTTCTACTCCTGCACTAGCTGGGAGGGACATCATCCTGGTCAAGGCCAGCACTGCATATCTTCTGGGTTTGCCCATTGCCTTTCTGAACGAGTCTCTTCTATGTCTCCTGGGGACCTGCCTGAAGGTAAC